TCCGATGTCCGTCCTGTTTGACTTTCCCCGCAGAACTTTTTGTCTTGAATATTTCTCTTTTTCTTTACTTGGCCCCCTGTGTCTCTGCTGCATTGCTTTTAAATTGCTGTCCCTCAGGGCCTTCATATCTACACTTGCATGAGTTTTCAAATCTATTTGTAAGATACCTCTGGGTTTCTTTGTTTTTGTTTGTTTGTTTTTCTCTTTCTGATCTGACAGTGAAGAAAGTTGACTCCCTCTCAGCTACTACGTTAGTTTCTTAGGTCTACACACCTTCCAACACGCATGCTTAAAATACTTGGGATTATCTCTTCCCGAGGCTTGAAGCCTGAGATGGAGGCCTTGGCAGGATCCTTTCCTGAGGCTGTAGGTGCCTGGTCAAACATGAGTGTCTGCCTCTGTCTTCATGTGCCTTTTGTGTGTGTGCACACCACATCACACCCCATTTACCTTTCTCTCGTAAGAGCAGCTGCCACTGGGTAACCCAGATGAGCCAGAATGGTCTCTCCATCTCAAGATCCCTAACTTCCCTGAATGCTGGGGTCAGTGAGCTCTTCTGTGGCTTGCCCTCCCTGTCCCTCTACCGACCACAGCTACCCAGGCTTCTCAGCACCTTTGTTCACCTTCCATTTCACCCCAGCCTTCTCACTTCTCTTCCCTGTGTTTCAGCCATCTCTGCCCTGGGAGCTGTCCAGCTCATCTTCCTTTACGCTCCTGTCCTCCTCAGAGCCTCTGCTCAGACCTCCATGGGCAGAAACGCCCTTCCCTCCTTGTTCTTCATTCTCTGAGTGTTGCAAATGGTTCTGCCAGCCTCTTCCTCTTGGGCCACAGACATACTCAGACCCTCCCCTTCTAAGGAATCTTCTCTTCACTTTGCTGGCTGCCCAATTTACTTTAGTGAAGTGTGCTATCCACTGGACCATTGACTTTTTTTCTTTCATTTCCAAGTCACTGGTCCTTGAAAGGCTGGAAGGGACTGCCTCCTAGCATTGTCAGGAGGTGGGGTATGATGATGACTGCCCCTTTACTCACAATAAGGATGTGGTTTTCTCAATGCCCCACCTCAATTTCTTTCTCTCTAAGTGGGAGTAATATTAGTGATCATGGAGTTGATTAAGATGCCTGGCAAAGCACATTGTATGTCATATGTCAGATATTTTTTCCTAAACTATCTTTCTGTTTTATTGTGCTTTGGTTTTTTTTATTTAAGACTTACTTCTATTTAGGCATCCACAGAGGCCAGAGATGGGGTCAGATCCCCCGGAATTGGAGTTACAGGCCACTGAGAGCCACTTAACGTGGGTGATGGGGGCTGAACCCTAGCCCTCTACAAGAACAGCAAGCACTCCTACCACTGAACCATCTTTCCAGCCCTTAGTCTCTCAAGGTTTTTTTCTTTGTAGCCTTTGCAGCATTCAACCTAGTTGACTTCTATTTGCTCTATAGATTCCTCTGAGGTTATTTTGGGGTCGTTTAGTCTCAGGCTTCCAGTGTGTCATCTGCATACATGGGCTCGTCACCTCCTTATATCCATTCCAGATCATTTTCCCGGCAATTCGCCAGTCTAGTTTTCAGCTTGCGCTGTTACTTGCATGTTTCCTAGTTGTGTTTCCTCTTAGCCGCAATCCTACCGTTATAACCACCACCAGGCTGCCTATTCCTCAGATCCCTTTGGAAGCGTCTGTTCACTTGATCCTGAGCCACTTAAAGCAAGATGTGTCTCAGCAATCAGGAGGCTGGATATCAGTGCTGGAGGCCTTTCTGTCCAGTGACACTCCTGTGTCCCTGCGCATGGTGCAGCCCTCACCGTCAACACTCAACACTTGCAGTGAGCCGAGCTGGATGTGGAAAGGGTGGTTGACACAAGTTCTTTACAAATCTCTCTCTCCCTCCCTCTCTCTCTAGCAGAGAAGGAAGCAGGTTCATGAAGTTCCTGTCACAAGCCCCAGGTAGAATGCCTAGCTGCTTTTGTAAACTCTTGCCTTTTGAAGTTATTTTTTTTTCTTTCCTTTCCCTAAGGTGTTTTTCTTTCTTCTGAAAGGATAACTGGCAAGCAAGTTGGGTTTATGTCTCATTATGTAGAGGAAAGTAGAAAATGAGCTAACTACAGAACACACAGTATGGTTTTAATTAAGCAGGTTTTTTTTTTTTTTTTGTATATTTCTGAGTTGTCTCAAGACACAGGGTAAAGCTGAGAAAGATTTCCTTATTGATATTCTGAATTATAGTTTCTTAAAATTGGAACAAAAATTTTAGACAAGAATTCTTTTTTTCTTTAGGTCTTACCAGAGAGCAATTGCATTTTATATTAGTGATAACTAGCCAGGATTTAGCTGAGTGCTGGTCAGTATGGTTGTATGATGTTGGGGGACTTTGTCCTGAAGTTCTGTTTAGTGTGACGTGGTGACGCATGACTGTGTCCTTCGTGCCGGCTGCGCTGTGTTTAAGTACATCTCCATCTTCATTCCCAAGTGGGTTCTCGTCTTTAGGGACCAACTCCACTAGGGCCACTCACCAGAGGAATGTAATGTCTTAGCTGCAAATGATTTCAAATCAACTAATAGATTTCTTCCCGCTGTTCAGCATTTCCCCAGCTCTTCCTTATATCTTTCTCCGTCCATGCAGTGGTTAAAAAAATAAATAAATCATCCACCTCATGATAATCTATTTTTTTTTAAACAGCTTTGTTACCTGTAACTGAAAGTATGTGTATTTTAAGGATTATGTCTGTAAGACTCAGCAAAGTGCCCCGCACACTTAGCATCTTAGCATCCATATAAGTGCAAAAATGTAGTACAGGTGTGTGGTTTCTAACTACATGATAAATGCAAGTCCAAACAAGTCAAGTTTAATTATAAGACTTCTGGAAATCGTGAAGACATCGTCATCACATCTACTTTAGTGTGCGTGCATGCACATGCCAGCGTGCACATGGAGGTCAGAGGACAGCTTTCGGGAATCACACTTACCCTCTGAGCCTTCTCATAGCCCTTGATGTACATTAAAATGTATGACCGAAGTAAAACCCAGATTCCCGTTTACCTCCTCTTCTCGCATTGAAAGTGAAAGAAGTTATGTTGTGCCGGGATTGAACCTGGGGCTCCTTGGATGCCACGGGAGTACTCTCTCCCAATGGACACAGCCCAGCCTGGGCTTTCTTTTTGTGAGAGTGTCATTACCCTGCACAGTGACAGGGTAATGTGAACTGAGTCTTGCTGGTGCTTGACTGTGCTGTGGAAATGAGCCTCTTGTCTGAATGGAGACCTGAAGGGTTGGCTTTGTGATGAAACTGCTTAGCATGGGAGGGGCTTTAGGAGACATCCCTTGCATTGCTATCTCTTTAAAACGACAGAATTGGAGAACTGTAGGCTGTCCCAAGTAAGGCCCCCAAGGAAGATCTCCTGACTTAGTTCCCTGCCTGCTCAAGGCGGTATAACACCTGAGTCAGGGCGTTCTGAAATCTATCATTTCATAATTTCTTCAAGAGATAGAAATTAGGGGCCTGCTTTTGAAACACCACAAAAAGGTAAAACAATCGATTTTTTTTCTAAGTTGATAACTTAATTTTTTTAACTTTTATTAATTACACTTTATTTACTTTGTATCCCTCATAAACCCCTCCCACCTCCCCTCCTAATCCCACCTTTCCTCCCCCTTCTTCACACATGCCCCTCCCCAAGTCCACTAATAGGGGAGGTCCCCCTATCAGTGATCTGATCCTAGTCTATCAGATCTCATCAGGAGTAGCTGCATTGTCATGTTCTGTGGCCTGGTAAGGCTGCTCCCCTCTCAGGGGGAGGTGATCAAAGAGGAGGTCAATCAGTTTGTGTCAGAGACAGTCCCTGTTCCCATTAATATGTAACCCACTTGGACACTGAACTGCCATGGGCTACATCTGAAAATAATCACTCTTAAGCTGTACAGTGATGGTTGATTTTCATACTTTGTGATTGAAATGAATTATAGTACTTTAAACAACTGAGTCATACAAATGATCCAAGAAGCTATCAATTCTAAGTTACTACTCCTTTCAGACATGCTTTGTGGGGTTCAGGAAGGATGACCCGGGTGATATGTAGACCCCTCTGGTATTATGGTGTTCTGTAGACAACTCTATCCTGGTGTTATGGTGATTTGTAGACCCCATCCTGGTGTCATACTGATCAGTAGACCCCATCCTGGATTTATGTTGATCTGTAGACCCCATCCTGGTATTATAGTGATCTGTAGACCTCATCCCGTTGTTATGGTGATCTGTAGATGTCTTTATCCTGGTGTTATGGTGATCTGTAGATGACTCTTTCCTGTTGTTATGGTGATCTGTAGACCCCATCCTGGTGTTGGGGTGATCTGTAGATCCCAGCCTGATGTTATAGTGATTGATAGTGTATTAACTGTCAGATAAGAGATTCTTACCTTAATGGAGTTTGGGAATTAATATAGAATTTTAGAAAGTGATATTTGACCATATATAATATAATATATAATAAATAACTTTTTTGGCAATGACTAATGTTCATACATTTTGTAGAAGTTAAGGAATTTTGTTACAGTTTGTGTGTTTAGTCTTGTTCTGTTAGCTAGATGGACCTTGGCACTTAATTTTTACATTCAAAGTTACTATTTTTGTGCACACACGTGCATGTGCATGCACTCAAGCGTGACAGTGCACATGTGGAGGTCAGGGGACAACTTTTGGAAATCAGTTTTCTTCTATGATATGAGTACCAGGGGCTGAACTCAGGTCACTGGGCATGGGCAAGCACCCTTACCCTCTGAGCCATCTTGCTGGCCCCCATTTTAATTTTTATAAGTCCATTTGTTTCTAAGTTTTTAAAGCAGAAAATAGTCACCTTGTATTTTGTTTTCCCCTTTGGCATGGTAGATAGATAATCGAGTGTCCACTTTTGGGGTACTTCGCTTAATCTGAATATTATGTTACTAAGAAAAATTTTGTTGTATCATGACCTTCATTCTCTCTTTTGCCTTTTCTTTCACAGCCAACACATACCTCTTTATGGTACAAGCTAGAGGTATCATGCTGAGAGAGAACGTGAAAACAATCGGACATATGATCAGGCTGTATACGAATAAAAATACTACGCTCAATGGGACAGGTAAGGCTGTGTCCTCCTTTGCCTACCATTTGAGTTGCAGATCAGTTAAATGCTAGCTACTTGGCCTGCACATAGTTTTTGGTTAACGCGGGGTCTGCCTCTTAGGAAGTGCACCACTAGATGACTGGCGTCCTTACTAAGTGTACTGCCGAGTGGTGTCTTCTTAGCTTACCTCCCACGAGATTGGCATCCCATACACAGGTATTTGCCTGGTTGGCCCAATACTCAGTAGATGGCTAGATTCACTGCATTCAGTGCATTGCTGTTCATTCTACTGCTAGTTTGGCATCCCCTACTTGTGTATTCTAGATCATATCCCGTACTAAGTGTTCTGCTAGATTATTATTTTTAATACATTTTTTATTTATTACAATTTATTCACTTTCTATCCCAGCTTTAGCCCTCACCCTCATCTCCTCCCAATCTGCCCTCCCTTCTTCACTTATCTCCCCCATGCCCCTTCCCCAGTCCACTGATAGGGAAGGACCTCTACCCCTTCCATCTGACCCTATCCTGTTAGGTCTTATCAGGACTGGCTGCATTGTCTTTCTCTGTGGCCTGGTAAGGCTTCCCTTCCCCCCTCAGGGAAAGGTGATCAAAGAGCCAGCCACTGAGTTCATGTCAGAGGCAGCCCCTGTTCCTCTTACTAGCTGCCATGGGCTATGTCTGTGCAGAGGTTCTAGATTATCTCCATGAATGGTCCTTGGTTGGAGTATCAGTCTCAGAAAAGACCCCTGGGCCCAGATTTTTTTTTGGTTCTGTTGTTCTCCTTGTGGAGCTCCAGACCCTTCCAGGTCTTTCTATCTCCCCCTTCTTTCATAAGATTCTGTGCACTCTGCCCAAAGTTTGGCTATGAGTCTCAGCATATGTTTTGCTACCCTGCTGGGTAGAGTCTTTCAGAGTCCCTCTGTGGTAGGATCCTGTCCTGTTCCCTGTTTTTCACCTTCTTCCGATGTCCATCCCGTTTGTCTTTCTGAATGAGCATTGATCATTTTACCCAGTGTCCTCCTTCTTGATTTTATGGACACCTGATTTTTGACAAAGATGCCAAAATCGTACAATAGAAAAAAGACAGCATCTTCAACAAATGGTGCTGGTCTAACTGGATGTCTACATGTAGAAAAATGCAAATAGATCTATATTTATCACCCTGCACAAAACTAAAGTCCAAGTGGATCAAAAACCTCAACATTAAACCAGACACACTAAACCTATTAGAAGAAAAAAGTGGGGAAGAGCCTTGAGCTCATTTGCACAGGAGACAGCTTCCTGAACAGAACACCAACAGCACAGGCTCTAAGATCAACAATCAATAAATGGGACCTCATGAAACTGAAAAGCTTCTGTAAAGCAAAGGACATTGTCATCAGAACAAAACGACTACCTACAGATTAGGAAAGAATCTTCACCAACCCTGTATCTGCTAGATTATTAGGACTGTCATTTAGGTTTGGATGAACTTCATAATTTTATAACCTTTTAAAAGAAAGCAGAGAATACATTTTTATGATGCTGCAAATTAGTAGCTGTCCTTTCCTGTTTACAATGTTAACTGGGAGTGGTTTCTCCATTAGAGCTAATATCTAGTTTACTTAACTAGGGATTTTCTGAAGGGAAGAAATGGCTTCCTTTCCCTGTCGTGGAAATAAGTGTCTCCCAGGACATTATGGGATGTCACACTGACAAGATCAATGATTGTCCCTTGCAGCACTCTTTAGATCTTTGTTTTGAAATAGTTGAAAAATATTAAAACTTTTTGTGCCACTGTAAACATACTCAGTTCTCGTTGACTCTCCTTCCTTCCTCGCTAGAAGGTATATCTCCAGCCAGAATGGGATTTCAGTCTATGTCAGATGATATGTGTACCTGTAGAGAATTTATCCTACTCATTTGCCTGATTTGTTTATGATTCTCCTAAATCTGAGCACTCTTTCCTTTAATCTTTGAACTTTAATCTCACTTAGAAAGATTGTCTCGAGGTAATTGGCCCTGTGGTAGTTAGTACAGGGCAGTCTCAGTCACCGGGGGAGACAGTGATGGAGACGTTTAGAAGACATTAACTAGTCTTCTAAAATAGTAGGTCATATTAAAAGTCTAAGCATTCGAAGAACTTTAGGCCATGCTAGTTGAAGAACAGCTTGTGAGGATATTCATTGAAAAGTCCGTTCCCTTGCAGTGTAAAGTATGTTTAGGTCACTGTATTTGTCTGTGTGAATACTAAGAATTTCACGTATCCTTCTTCCGCCTCTGAGATATGAATAAGTTTTATGTGTGGGTGTTGAGCTTGGCTGGGAACAGTGATGACTTGGGCAAGGAGATGTTCCTCGCAGCACCCTGAAAAAAAAAAAAAAAGACAAAACAAAGAAATTCTTTCTTCCCCTCTTCGAGCCATCGTTTTTAATAAAGAGGGAGCAGCTGGCGGGGACTATGTCAAAGAGTTGTGTACTTTTGTGAGCCTCTTAGAGCCTTCCGTAGGATCCCCCTGCTGATGGAAAATGTCTGTGTGAAGCCTTGCAAGCTGGCAACCTGTGGCTGTTGTGGAGGGTCCTGAACACAAACCACGGCATTTTTTTCTGTCCTTTTCTTTTTCCCTGTCTGCCCCACCACATGACTTCTTAGTTCATTTATAGCCCAAAGTGGCTGCCAGGACTCCAGTCATCTACCTTTCTTTGTCTACTTGGTTCAAGGAGTGGTCAGGTGGGAGAGGATGTCTGAGAGGGATGGAGTGATAAAAGATATCCTCCTTTAAACAAAAAAGTCCCACTGTGTTCCTACACTGGCCAGGCAGACCTAGTTACATGGCCACAGAGTGTTGGAAATGAAGCTCTGAGCTATGCTCACCCATGTTCCGAGTAAGGCTGGGGTTCTGTCACCCGAGGAGACAGGAGAATAGAGTCTGTTAGCAGCTGTGAGGCTCTGCCAGGCTCATTTAGGCAGCATTTATTGAGAAATTAGTATAGGTCATGCATGAATAAATATGGGAGAAGCAGTGTTAGGAAAGAACCTTCTTTAAATGAGGAGGGAGCCTTCGAGGCTTCTGGGAAAGATGGAGACATGATTACTAAAATGCATCTAATTATTTCTGCAAAGGCTTCGATATAACTTGCCAAAATTAAGAGAGAGAGAGAGAGAGAGAGAGAGAGAGAGAGACCAGTGAAATGTATAAAGTTGTGAGTACTATGGAAGAAACTGATTAATACATTTATAATTTAACACGAGAAGTCAATTGATTGTAGTACTTTTGAGTGTTTGGTTTCAGAAGGTTTTCGTTGCTGTCTGACACTCAGCACCATCAAGTGCAAACAGACTTATAGGACTTTTGTGCAGAAATCATAAGTCCTCAGAATCAAATAATGCCTTTCTGAGTAGCCTGTGGAATTGAGAAAACAATTATAGTTATAGTTATTGAAAGTGGATGTAACCAGTGATCAGGGCTGTATGGGGTACAGATGATAGTTTGTTAGAACGAATCTGGTGACTTCCTCATTTCATGGGTGCTTATAGCGAGGCCATTGAGAATCTTAGTGACAAGCAGATCGGCGCTCCAATGGACTTCCCACGGCACCTTCTAGCGTTTTCTCTTGCAGAAGTGAAGCTCTTGAGAATTGTCCTTTGTTCGCCTTCTTTTCTCTGTGCTTTCTATGTGAACGTGTTGTTGGGAACCTACCTAGCACTTTTCCTTTGGAGGCTTTCATTTCTCTGGGTGTGGTTCTGAAAGGGAGAAGGCAGGCAGGTTGCCTGGAGCTCATTTTGTTTCCATCCATTCATTAGATGAAATAATGTCTGCCTTTCACATAAGCTGCGGTGAATCCCAACTGTGTCCATCACATTTTGGAAACTGTTCAGGGCTTTGAAAGTAGTGGATGGTGCTCACTTACCGTCTTTACAGGGATAATGGCTGTGTGGGGTTATTTTAGTATTGTTTCCAGGGGGTTAAATCACTCAGGCTGTTTTATCGGCCATGACGTCTTTATGGGCAGTGTGTTCCTTGGATGTCTTAGGTGCTTTATACAATTTGACTACAGTTAAAAGTGATGTTCAGGGTAGCGGTTCCAGTGGTGGATGGGCTTAGCTGAACTGGCCCCACATGAAGGGCTTGGGCAGTGTGGGAGCATTTCTGCAAGTCTCTTAGTGACTTGTGCCCTTTGTGGTCATTTGCAGCGATGTGGGCAAGGACAGTTCGCTTCGGTGCTTGATACTGAAGCAATTAGCTAGTATTGCATGACTTTCAGACACTTAAAAATTATTGTTTGGTTTCATTAAAACCGGTGAAAATGATGATTGTGTTTTTTTATGAAATATGTCATCAGTCTAGCCCTAGATTATCTATTCTGGCTTTGTTTTTTTTTGTCCTCAGAGTGATGGTTAAATTTGTTTTATAGAAATAACCAGAGAGCTTGAAATTTAAAGGAGTTAGATATGGCTCTGTAGAATCATAGAATGTGGACAAGGAGAGGCCCAGGTGTTAGTGGCAGAAATTAATCAAGTTTGAAGAACAAGAAACTACTCTTATCTAGGTTGATACATAGCACAGAGACATTACTTCGTGGACTGGAGATGTGGCTCCGTGGTTATTGAGAACACTTGTAGAGGACCCCAGTTCAGCTTTCAACACCTATGGAGGGTAGCTCACAACCTCCTGAATCCCTAGCTCGAGGAACTCTCTTACTGTCTTTTGGCCTCTGCGGGCACCCACACACACTGTATATTCTCTCTGTCTCTGTCTCTGTCTCTGTCTCTCTCTCTCTCTCTCAGACACACACACAAATACAAAATTATGAAGGAGAAATTCTTGGTGAGCTAGGCATGGTGACTGTGCCGTCATTCCAGCACCTTGGAAACTGAGGCAGCTTCCTGGAAGGAATGAGCCTCATCGGACCTCATAGTCTTGGTTTATGTTGAATATAGTAAAGGTCTCTCAGCTACATTAGGTAAAGTATAGAGTTTGACCACAGGAAGAGTTTCTATGATCATGGTCTGCCCCTGGACACATT